AAAAAAAAAAAAAAAAAAAAACCAGATTGCTCTGAAGGCAAAGCTCTACCACAAACAGTGCCATGCAGAGAAAATACAAATGAAGATGACTATCAATATGCATGAAAAGAGAAACATCAAATGAAAGAATGATGAAAAGACTCCACAAGGACCAGTATCTGCCTACTTGCTGGATAGAGAGGCACAGTCTTGTGAAAAAGTACTTTCCAACATGATTAAACAGAAATGAAAAGAAAAGGCAAGAAAATGGGAAGTTCCTCTGCCCAAATTTCATGCCCAAGGAGAAACGGAAGTACTAAAAGTTATTTGAACTGGAAAGAGAAAAAAGAAGGCATGGAAGAGGACGGTTACTAAAGTCTGCTTTGTTGGAGATGGCTTTACAATGAAACTACCCAAATATGAGAGTCATTAGGCCAATGGCCTTATGTTTTAAGAAGGCCCATGAAACACAACTTTGAACTGAAACGTATCTTTTGTTTTCCAATACTTGGAGTGAAAAAGGATCCTTCATCACCAGTGTATACAATATTGGGTGTTATTACCAAAGGAACAGTGATTGAGGTTAATGTGAGTGAGTTGGGCCTTGTGACACAAGGAGGCAAGGTTATTTGAGGTAAATATGCCCAGATAACCAACAATCCTGAAAATGATGGATGCATCAGTGCAGTCTTACTAGTTTGACAAATGTTTCATACAATAATTTCTTACACTTATTGAAGACTACAGGCCAATCAGGAAAACCATAACTTGAATACTGCTGAACAACTCTGATGACTATATTCATCAAGAAAACTATTTATGAAATTGTGAAAACCTTAAAATGGCCCAGTTTTACAAATTGGTCTTTATCAGGGGTCTGCTAAGGGCTTATGTGTTAGTGAGATTGAACCATTTGAAAAAGTAAACATCAGTCTTTGCATTAAAGAGTGGGTACTCAGTAACACAGATCTCTCATTCCTAAAAAGCCACCAGTATTTAAAGTCAGTACATACTTCAGTTAGGGGTCTAGGGCTAGGAAATCTTCTGAAGCCATTCTACCTCATCACTTATCATTAGTCCTAAAAAAAGTACTGTTAAAGTTTGTTCTCAGTATAGCCTATTTATAATACTTTAAGAATGGCATTAGAAGTTTATTTAGATAATTCCAACTTAGTTGCACTGATACCCTGAAAAGAAACTTTATCTGCAGTTAAGTAATATAAGGTTATATGTTAGGTGTGCATCTCAAATTGTGTGATCTGAATTCAATGGTCATGGCTTGAAAAAAAAAAAAAGGAAAGAAAAACCACAAAATATAATCTAACATAAGACCAATAAAGCAAATTCCCTGGGGTAAATTCCTGACAAGCTTTATAGGTGGGGTGCTGTTTGAAAATGCACAAAAGCATAGGTAAACGGAAAATGCCTAGCATATCCTCTGTGAGCCACTATAAACTATTTAAAAGAGCTGACAGGATTTCTTTTGGCCTCATGAGAACACAAGCTAAGTGAATATGTTGATATACATAGCCCCAAAACAAATCATGTGAAATATTTATTGCATCCTGTTTGCATTTTACACATTAATTATACTGCTCTGCAATTGTTTGCTATTCAGTTTGATTCAGAGTGGAAAGTTGAAGCACTGAAGAGCCTTGATGTTGTCTCTGCTGCCACCTAGTGGTTGAATGCCATAATTCAACTTAAATGTAATGTCAAAAGATGTTTGGGGGGTTTTGCTTGTTTCTTTTGTTTTGTTCTTCCTTTCTTTATTTTTATTAGTATATGGCTACAGTACATAATGTTTACATTCCTTGTGTGGAGTTGGTACATATACATATCCTAATTCCTTTTTTCATTCTGTTTTTTTTCTCCCCTTGCCCCTCTATCTCTTAATCCACTCACCATTTGAGAAAGACCTTATTAAGGCCATCATCAAGAGATGACAACTATTATTTGTTATTATTTGGTTTCAAGGAAGAAAGAAACCATTGACGTTGTCTCTGCTGCCACCTAGTGTTTGAATGCCATAATTCAACTTAAATTCTCTCTACATTGTTGATGGAGACGTAAACTAGTACAGACACTAAAAGTTGATTCCCAACTTTTCCCCTTCTAGGTATCTACCCAAGAGTTACAGACCTAACAGTACAGTGATACATGCATGTTTATTATAGCACCACAATTCGTGATACCTAAACCAAGGAATCAGCCTATTAATTTGAGACATTTTCAGGATTAAATTTGGGTAAAGTAGTCTCTCTCTCGCTCTTATTTTTTAAAGATCTTTTGATCATATTTCAAGGTAGAAAGCAAAATTAAACAACCCCTACTGGTAGGGCCAAATTATATACATATGCATGAACCAGTCATTGACCACAAAGGGACCATCCTCTGTTTTTCTTACACTGGTCCTGTAATTCCACAGGCTTTTCTTTTATAGCCATCCAAGATACAGAGGCTTATGGATCAAAAGGAAATGCTATTTGTTCTCTCATAATCTCGGTGACCTACCATTATCTTGCACTTATGGGGCTCATGATTCCTAAAATAATTAAGGTATCAGCCAGTAGGGTGCATTCCTTATAGAGGCTCTAGCAGTATCTCCAGCTACTTACCTTTTCCAGTTTCTAGAGGCAGCAACAATCCTTGGCTCCAGGCTCCAATGGTCCACCTTCATATTTCAGGATTTACACTTTAGTTATGCAACCTTCAATGACAGAACAGCACTTACCTACCTTGGACCAATGTTCTATTTGCAGTAATCAATTAAATTATAAGAACAGCCATATCCCTGTACCGTGAGACAGATATGCTTGGAACTCTGAGCAACTAGCATGACCAGAGGAATTCAGGTGCCTGGACCATCTCCCTATGTGACATGAAGCAAGTAGAACCTGGCAACTGGCTAGATCAGAGGAACACAGAGCACATCTACTCTAACAGTGGGAAACATGTTGCATCCAAACTTCCAATTATGAATTATTCTATTATATAATTATTCACTGCTCCTGTGTGCTGATGTACAAAATCAATAGTTACCAAATTCTGTCAATTTCTAAACTTTGCCTGATATTGTGATTATTGCTAATTATACTACTTTATGGAAGGCTATCATTATCTGTTTAATAACTTGTTCTTCCTTGGATAATATTGGGAAGGACTGGGGTTATTACCTCACCACAGCCCTACACCTAAAGACAGGAGAGTGCCAAATGGAAATAAACATCTCACTCTCAATTCATTGGGAAGGTAGGATCTGGGGATAGAAACAAACCAAGAATCTCCAAAAGACAGAGGATATCCCTGAAGAACAGACTTTTCCTATAGCGGCCTTGATGGCAATGATATAGCTATCTCCTATCAAAATTTCACAAGAAACCAAAATAAAGAGTTCTTCTGGGGCCAGGGAGATAGCTCAGTAGAATAAGCACTTGCCTGGGAAGCACAAGGGCCTGAGTTCAATCCCCAGTTCTGCAAAACAAAAAAAAAAGAGTTCTTTCTGAAATTGAAAAAGACAAGACAAAGGAACAAAATGCAATCTCAGGACTCCAGCCCACCTAGAACAAGTACAGGGGAAAGCAGCATGGAAGAAATTGAAAATCACATACCTGAAAACTCCAAAATGATAGCAAATGAAGTAAAGAAACAATTCCAGGTGGCTATAGAGGAAATCAGATAATAAATAATCTCTCAGGCAAAAAAAACCAAATGATAATAATAGTGAAAGAATTTCTGAGCATATCTAAAGACATGGAAGAAAAAAATAGAAGAGCATAGCAAAATTATGGAAATCATGAATGAACAATATAAAAAAGAATTATAATGCATGAAACAGATTCAAAGAGATACCAAGGAAATTAAAAATTCCACTAAAAGCCAGCAAAACCATTTGAATGAAACTGAAGATACACTTTCAGAACTTGAAGACTTATTACAGCTAGTGACCAAAAAAGGAAAGATCCCTTAAAATTAACAAGGAACTGGGAAATGATTTAACAGCTACGAGATGATGAAAAGGTGAACAATGTAAGACTAATAAGTGTCAATTAAAAAGAAGAACTCAACCCAAATGACATAAAAACACTATCTGCAGAAGTAATAGCTGAAAACATCCCAAGCATGGGTAAAGGATCTCACATACAAATAAGTGAGGCATATAGAACTCCAATTAGCAACAACCAAAATAACTCTATATCCAGACATATAATAATCAAGATTCCAGAAATTCACCACAAAAAACAGCATAATAAAAACTACTAGAGAAAAGAAACAGATCACATTTAAAGGAAAGCCCATTAGAATCACAGTATATATCTCAAAACAAACCATCAAGTCATGAAGAGCTTGGAATGAAGTATTCCAAGTTCTGAAAGAAAGC